AATTATTATAAAATTTTTTAATAAAAAAAATTATGAAAACATTAAAAAACTAAAAATATTCCATTCATGCAATCTGTCCACGCATCATGCAATTACTTCCTTATATGTGTGTCTGTGTTTATGTGTATCCTTACCCCCGTCATGCACTTACTGTTGCCTTCCATTGCACCACAATAACCGAAACGCACTTGTATTGCGTGGTGTCTATGGACTAATGGTTGTGATTAACACTTGCAACATTTAATTTTCTTTTGTTTTTTTTTTTTTGCACTTTCTCCAAATAGAAACACAAAAATTTATTGATGTTCATTTTGCAGCGCAAAGAGAAATACGACGACGATGTGGACGAAGTGAAGAAGAAGGATAGCAACAACAAAGCCGCTGAAAGTGAGGAGAAGAAAGCTTTACTCGCTAACGGTCACGTCAGTAACGGTGTCATCAGCAATGGCAGTGTTGCCAACGGTTACCCGAAGAATGGCTACAAAATTGCAGCAGCGTCGGCGTCGGCGCCAGCGACCACACTGATCAATGGCAGCAGTGCCAGCATGAACGGCAGCGTCAAGACGTCGACGGGGAACGGCAGCATGTACAAGAACGGCGAAGCGCCGTTGCTGGCCAACGGACACAGCAAAATGGTGGGTGGCGAGTTGGCTGCGCAGCTGACACAACGCAAATTGCAGCAACAACAAAAATAATATAGGGCCACAGGCGGCGTAGTGGCGCATACGCTGGCTACGGCGTCGACGCTGGCGACGGCAGCTAAGCACACTACAACACACAAAGCTAAGAAAACACAAAAACAATTACAGAAACAAAACAAAGCTAAAAAACAAACATAAAAAATACAAACAAAACAAAAAAAGCAAGAAAAACACAACCACAACAACACGCAAGGCAAAGCCAGAAAATTAAGTTTATAATTAATTGATTAAAGTATATGTAGTTATTACAAAAGGAAATTAATTAATTAAATGCATGTGGAAAGAAAATCAAAACACCGGGCGGAAAAAGAGAGGAAAAAGTTATTGAGCATTAATTTTTTTATTATCTATCTTATATACATACTGCATTAAAATTAAATTTGTAAATTTATACACATACACACACCCATACACGCATATATACATACATACGAAACGCGCGCATGCGCATACTTACCAAAGCAGCAAGCAGCTGACAGCTCTTTGCCGCCTCGTGTAGGAAACCGAAATAATAAACATTATGACAAAGCTGCATAGCAGGCAATAGCGAACAGGAAGTAAAAAGCGCAACTACAGCGCTGCCAAYCATTTGCTAGTGTATAATTTGTGCGCTGCGATTTGCTGCTTAAACTAAAGCAGACATACAACTTTTTGTTTATTTTTTAGAAAATTTCTATACAGCGAAATAATAAGTGCGTATAATGTTGCSCAACAATGTTGCACTTGTTTTAAGGCTTAAAATTTCAGTCAAAGCTTTTTTATCGTTTTATCGTTATGTAAATGTGTATCTACTTCTTTTTCATTTGTTCATTTTTTAACATTTTATTAAATACGTTTGAGCTTATCAATCAATAAGACAATTATAGTGCTGCACATAATCTAATTTTATTTTAATGTTTCAAACAGAAAAATTTAAAACTGTTTATTGAAATTTAATCGCGACAATGTTGCTGAAAAAGTAAGAAATATGTTTCGCAACAATGTTGCTGAAAAATGTAAAAAATATGTTTCGCAACAATGCTGCTGAAAAATTAAAAAAAATCGCAACAATGTTGTTGAAAATGTAAAAACAAATGTTTCGYAACAATSTTGCTGAAAAATGTAAAAAACTTTCTCGCAACAATGTTGCTGAAAACTATGAAAACATGTATTACGGAAAATTTTTGAAAAAATGTCTGACAACAGTATTGCTGAAATAAATAAGTATCACAACAATATTATTGAAAATTAAAGAAATATGTTTTATGTTTTAAAAACATGTTCCGCAACAATATTGAAATAAAAGCAAGTTTTARCATCTGCCTATTTGCAATTGTCATAAACTTTATAGCCATCAAGCGTAAGCAATATTTCGAAACTTCCTCCAGCGACATCTAGGTTGCCAGTGGTGTTCGTAGATAAAGCAGACTTTTTTTTAATTTTTTTTATAAATAATTTTTATTTTGTCAAATCAAGGCAATTTTTATGCTCATTCATATACATTATATGCATACTAATATACACGTATTTGCAAGCGTCTCAACAGTGTTGCCAGTAACACTTTCAACACTAACGCCACATACTTAAAAGGAAAAAGAGTTAACTAGTTATCAACTAACAAATGTTGCGCAACAAAGCGCCTTGCAACATTCTCTTCTTCAACACTCACGTCTTTTTATATTTTTTCTGCTTGTTTTCGAATTTCTATAATCAAAATCATATTTTGTAAATAAATTCGGTTACCTCAGTTTAATCGTCAACCACAGCAAATCGCGGAGCACTAAGCATACACCCACAACAAACAAACACAACAATAAAATGATACATGCATACAAGCGCATATACACAACCACATTTGCAACTGCATTTTCCACATATATACGTGCAAACGTATAAATAAATAAATAAATACATACACATTGATATATGTATAGTGATATATATGTATAGTATATATTTATGCATATAGGATATAAATTGAAACAAAAATGTACACAAACGATTGAAACTACGCTTGTAGGTGAACAAAAAAAAAAAATTACAAAAAAAATATACAAAATATTAATTTATAATAAAACAAAAAATAAAATACTGGTTTAGGTATGCAATTAAATACGATTTATATTTAGCGTTACATTTGCTAATTTACGATATACATACACATACAAAGGTAGATATATACTTGTATTCGGATGCTAAGTGTTCTGTATCGAACTTTTGAGTTTACTTTTATTTTGTTTTTCCGTTGTACAAAATCGATTATATATATATATTTATATGTATATGTAATATTGTAAAGAACTTAAAGTAAAAAATAATAAAAAAAAATATATATATATAATATTAAATGTTAAATGAAAAATATGGAAAGTCAAGTCATTTCAATCGCAGCATCGCAATCATATTTATAAAAAAACATACGTACAAAATGCAAAAGCAACAACAACAAACATGTACGCAATGCAAACTTAATTGTAATTATTAATTGCTAGCTGCAAAATGAAATTAATTAGTCTAAAGTAATTAATTAATAACTATGTAAGGCTTAGTAAGCGAGAAGTGTGTTTGATAAGTTAAATAAATAAATAAAACAACTCTTTACATATTAAAAATAAGTGAAAAAAATATATATATTAGAAAAAAGAATGTGGGTCACAAACACATACGACATAGTTTATTATTAAACCAAAAACAATAAAAAAAAATTACAGCGAACTTGTTTACGCATACGTGGAAAGCATGCTACACGGTCGGCTAACCGAAACTAACCGCCACTCTTCCGCATAAGTCAACGCTGCACTGCATATGTGTAAGTCTATATATATGTACACTACAGGCATACGGGGTATGACGGAGTGTGTTGGTTGAACTCTGTGAGCGTTTAAAAATATTTGTTTATAATTACATAATAATTTCTTATAATATAAGAGCAATCCTAAGCAGTCATTGTCGGCACACAAAGCAACAAACACAGACAACCAATGAAAAATTAAAAAATAAAATAAAATAAAATAAAAAAATACCGAAAATTAATATATTTTATAGATAATATGAAAATTAGCAATTATAGTGAAAAGAAAATAAACTGAAATTACACAAAAACACCTGTAGTTTATGAATGAAGATGAGTGAAGCGTAAAGCAAAGGCGATGAGTCAGCATTTGCAACCAAAAAAAGTGAAGCTAATCAGCAACAACAAATTAAAAACAATTAATGCGCTAATAAACTATAAAATAAAATATAAAAACAACAAGTTTGTGTATTTAATTTAAAGACTCTACAGCAATGTTTAGTAAAAATTAGTAAAATTCTAAGCAAAACAAAAAAACAATAAAATGGGGAAAATAAAGTTATAAAGTCAAGCGATTAGTCAAAGATAATTTAACAGCGAAACTCTAGCCAAAAATATATTGAAAAAAATTATAAAATTACTTGTGCTACAATAAATATATAAACATACATGTATGTATGTTTGTAGAGCAGATGAGCCTTTTTAGCTTAAAAAAATTATAATAATAGTTACGAAAGCATTAAAACTTACATTTGTGTATTGTAAAGTATTCGCTAAGCAATTATATTCTAAATAATGAGAAAACTAACAACAAACACTACTGAAGCCGGAATTGCAAAGAAATGTTAAATGAAAATTATTAATTAGTAATGCATTCGAAGAACATTGGCACACACATTTTAGTGTATAAATGCATGAAAAATATATGTATGAAGAAAACAGCAGTACTTCTAAACTCAGCGACTTCTATAGAAATTCAAGCGACTTAAAATTCAGAACGCGAATATTTTAGGACATTTTCTACATGGAACTAGAGCTGGAGCTAAAGAATCCATAAAAACATAAACTTAAATTTAATACAGCTCAGAAAAGCTTCAAAAGATCTTATTCATCCTAAAACGGATATAAAAAGCAGAAAAACTTCTAAAAAGCTCAAAAAAAAAGCTTTCACCTGAAAACTGGTATGAAATTCAAAAAGCTCTTAAAAAGCTTATACATCTCCAAACTAATATAAAGTTCGGAAAAACTTCTAAGACGGTTATAAATTGCAAAACAAATATACAAATAACAATTCGAAAAAGCTTCTAAAAGCTTCTAAACCTTTCAAAACAAATACACACTTCAGAAAAGCTTTTAAAAAGCTTATAGATCTTAAAATTTTTTTTTACATTTTTACTCAAACTATAATTTAGAATTTAATTTCAAAATATATGCTTTTGTGAGCTTTCTTCAGTCACATTATGCTGTCCGTATTTAAGTTAGTTTGGTCTAAATTTTATTTCAGCGTTAGGTGTAATAAAAATGTATGAAGAACTAGAAACATCATCATAAAAATATTAGGTGAAAGCTTATTTGCTTTTATAAATTCTAAATTTTATACGCATGTAAAAACAATTAAAGAATTTATCGAGTTAATTTTTTATACCACTTTTCAATATATTTAATTCTGCTAATGTGAAAGCTCACCTACCGTAAAATGTTGATGGTTTACATGAGTACTAGATAAAGTTCCGCGCACAGCTTTCACTAAAATATATAAAAGTCTGACTTTACATTTGTATATATTTATAAATTTTAAAACCAATTTATTTGCACATTTAAAAAGCTTTCACTGAGAGTTGAAAAACAAAATGCAAGTTATGATTGTATTTTATATGATATACATTCGATTTCTAAAGTTTGTATATTATTTCGTTTTATATTGAAAACCTTATATATAGAAAGCTCTGCATACCTAGCATCAATTTTATAAAGCTTTCACTGCAATTCAGGCAGCTTTAGGTGTCAAGGAAAATCATAATGCATAAACAATTGAAACTCCCACCCTTTACCGCACAGCTAGGGACAGTAGTGTTTGAGACAGATCGCAATATTAAACAAAAAACAATATTTATATATATATATAATATTAACAAATTTTGTAAAAAACAAATAACGTATGTATGTATGTGTAAGCGACAATTTTCTAAATAATTGCTTTTGGAAACGAATGCATTCTTTACAAGTACCTAGAATTATAAAAAATTTGTCTTACTTAATTTAGAGATAATTTTTTATATTATTAATTTTTTTTAATAATTTTTAAAATTTTTTAATTTTAATTTTTCTAATTTTAACATTTTTTATTTTAACATTTTTGTA